CCGCCGCGCTGCCGCCTGCCTGTCGCGCGGCACGACTCTTGTCTGCGCCGTGGAAATTACCTCGGGGCGTGATCACGATGGCGCTTGCGAGCGCCCATTATTGCGTCTTGCAGCGCGCCCTTGGGGCCCTGCGCACGTGTGTGGCCACACTGTGGCCCCTTACGGCTCGCACATGCGCACAAAAAGTCGTAGAGGGACATGTACAAGGGAGCAAACTATCCCTCGAAGGGACGCAATTTGTGTTAGTGCGAGACATCGCGCGCGGCCCGAGCGAAACAAAGTTGTCACGTCTTTTAGTGGTGCTAAAGTGGCCAGTGGCACTTTACATTTTACAACGTTGCAACTTTTTGGTGCCCTTGAAGGGACGGTGTATCTATTTATGTATCCATAAATTCACAAGCACCTATGTCGGGAGTTCCACATTTTGTGTCGTGAGTGACTGACGGTCTCATTTCTATTTCATTACATTCTGTGACACACGCCGCGGAGCGCGGCATAGTGTGCAAACATCTACCGGGTAGAGTAAAACTACACTGTCGGACGTGTTCCGAGTTTGTATTTTTAAGTAGGAAAGTTGTTAAATGTAAATTGAGTTTCTCATTGAAGTTGAAGTTTACTCAAAGACATTAGTTAAAAAAATTAGGTTGATAATTTCAACGAACTTCTCTGTAAACTTTAGTAAAGATTAGTTCACACCTTCAAATTCAAAGCAATAACCGAATGTAATTTGTACATTCTATTGCATCGTCGTTATCCCCCCCCCCTCCCTTCCTTGCCCACCCCTTCGATCACTCTCCGCAAACAAGAGAACTGGTTGCCTAACTTCTAAGGCGCTCCTAAACTTTCCTTTGGCCGCAAAAGTCTTTAGACCGCTTGCTGCGCTGGCTCTGCCCAGCGCGGCCACGCCTTGTCGCCTACCTGGAGCGGCTGCCCTCGCTGCAGTATATGGCCCCCATAGGTCTGGCTTACGCTTGCTTTTGCTGTATACAGAGTATATGAGTGTGCCCTGCGGCCGAACCGCTGACCCGTCCACCTCAAACAGGAAAACGAAACAGAAATGTGCGCTGGAAAAAAAGATTTTTTTTCAAACGGGCAGAGCTTGGGAGTCCGGTTCGTGTAGGTGTAGGGTGGGGACGGACGGGAGGCGGACCGAAGTGGGGCTTAGTAGCAGCAGCAGAGCGTTTTAGCGGCCGGCGCTTTAGCCGTTTTGTTTTGTGTTTTCCACTGCTGCGGCCTGTGAGTGTGTATGTGTGTGTGTATTTGGCGGGCGGCCCACACCTGTGATGACGGGCGCCGTGATGCAATGCGACATACGCGCGAAGAGAGCACACACACTCACTCACACTCACACACACACAAATGGACACCCTCGCCAACACGCACGCACACATACATAACGCGCACGCACTCAGCAACGACTGGCCTGGCGCGGCGCGGCGGCGGGCGCGACCTCGGGATCAGCTGGGCCCGCGCTGCAGTATAAAGTGTTATCCGGTCGGCGCGAAGGGTAACAGCTTCCCGCCCGGGGTGCCGCCCACCCACTCCCCCCTCCCCCTTCTTCCTCTCCTCGCCACCAACTCGTATACTCTCTGCGGTTTTTTTATATTTTAATTTTTTTTATCAGCGGGCGTTACCTATGTGGAAGTGCTGCAAGCTCATGGTTTTCTATGAGTGGGTTTGTGTGTTTTGTTTTTTTAGGCCTTGCGCATTTGGCGGCTAAGTGTTAAAGGCTAACGATTTCACCCACAATGAAAGTAAAATGAGAAGCGCCGGTGTCATAAAGGTGACTACAACCGTCGCGTTCAATTATTCGAGTGTGGGGAAGAGGGGGCGGGGGGCTTCTCTGCAGTCGCCTCCCTGTCCTACCCATTAACCGTTTGTCTGCAACGGATCAAGAAGAAGAAAAGAAGAAATTTGTGTCACGAACATGGCGGCCGGCCCATGTATTCTTATGGTATTCTTTTGGGCCGGCCGCCATGTTCGTGACACAAACCTCTTCTTTTCTTCTTCTTGATCCGTTGCAGACAAACGGTTAATAGCCGTGCTCTACCACTAGCGTCTGTCATTACCGCGCAGGCGAGCGCTGAGGTGTCCTCCTCCCACCCAGTGTCTCACCTGTGTGATGACAGAAGCGACCGCCGCAGCCGGCAGCGACCTTCACCACCGCTACCCGGCCCGGCCCGGCCCGACCCGACCCGACCCGACCCGACCCGACCAGATAGCAGAGCGAAGCCAGCAGTTCGGTTCGGGTGGGGCCAGCGCAGGGCGGGTCGTGCTGCGAGATGCATATTGGGTCTAGTTTACATTTGTCAGCCGATTTTATATCTCTGTAGTGTCTAGAAAGTGACATATGGCAGGAAATTTCCTGTACTCTGACAGATGAAAAGATTTTCAGTGTTGCAAACAGTGGAATTTTGTCCGGAATTTTTGTCTTGCCGATCTTACAGTGGGAATGAGGGAATGACCACTGCTGCAACAGTGTCTCACTCAGTACCACTTTGCCCTACACTTAAAGACTGGAACTGTCAGTGGAAGGGACTTTTTCACGGAGTTTCCAGAGTAGCACATGTACAAGCTTCTGCAGAAGCCTGACACTTAAAATTAGGATAATTCCTAGAAGTTTTTCACCATCTTAAAGTAAGTTCTTTTAAAATAACATGAGACCTTCTGTTTGCCTTACTGCGTTGAGCCCACGTTAAACTATGCTTTAAATCGAATGCGTTTGTTTCATTATGAACTGTCTGGTCGTCCGGAAGCGGGGGAGGTTGTTGTAAAAATAGAGGAGTTCATCATGTAATTTGTTGTTGTATTTGTGCTGCTTCCACGCCGTTTCGGACGTTAAGGTAGGTAAAAATAGAACCGTTGGGGAGTTCGGAGAATGGGGTGATGTACGGGACCCTCTTGCGTAAACAGGACGGCCTGCTGCGTGCACCGTCAGGGCGAGGCTCCAAACGGCTACAATAAGCGGAAAACGTGACATTTCGATTTCATTTCGGCTTCGAAGTGCGATAACAACTATCACAAACTATCGAACACTGAACAATCGTCGTAGGTTTACGAGAAAATTCTTAAGTTACAAGCACTTATCTACTTGAGATCGGTGATCGGTCGACAAGTAGGAATGATCCGTCGCAAGTTTAGAAAACACATTTTGTAAATAAAGGAATTACAACAAGTGTTGTAAATTAACGAGGATATTTTTCAAAGTGAATTTTGTAAATCAAAAGTGCGCGCTCATTTAATTGATGGAAACTGTTTGCTCAGCACCTTTACAGTTACTGTGCGGCCATAAATGTTCACGCCGCCCTTGCCCTTTCTGTTTGCAGGTTGACCGGGGTCCCATCATCCTCGCATCCATCTGCGTCGGGCGGCCGGCCGACCGACGCGGACGACGCGCCGACCAGGACGATGCCGCGCCAATGAGGGACGACGGTCGGCGGCGACGCTCTCCCCGGTGTGTCCGGCCCTGCCCCTGCCCCCTCCCCCCCGCGACATGGCCCAGGACGGTGGCGGCCAGGACGGCGGCCGCCAGGAGGGCCTCCCCCGCGGCGGCCCGGCCCGGCCCGAGGCTGTCGCGGCGGCGCGCGGCGGCGGGGACCCCCTCCGCGGCGGGCCCGCGCTGCCCGCGGCGGTGACTACTGGTGGGTGTGTTAGTGCGCTGCGGACCGGAGCCACTGCCGCCTCGATGGCGCTGCGGACGTGTGTGTTGCTGGCACTGCTGGCCCAGTGCTTGGCCGCGGCCTCGTCGCCGTCCTTGCGGGCGGCCGAAGACAACCTCCTCGCGGACTCCGGCCACGGCCACTTCTCGTCGCAGTGGATCGTGCACATCGACGGCGGGCCGGCCGCCGCCGACGAGATCGCCGCTCGCCACGGCTTCGACAACCACGGAGAGGTGAGTCCCGACGGGTCTTCTTTTTCACATTTCGGCGTTTGATGGTCTTAATGCTCTGGGACACGTGGCCAAAGCGTTTGAATTGGTTCATGTTTGTCCTGGCCAAACCGTTCTCCGAATTTGCTCCACTCGCACTGAAAGCCGGCTCCTTCTGTTGGTCTTGCGCGGCGCTGTGAAGCATGCGAGGTGCGGTCGGGCTGGCCCGGACCCGGGCGCGCACCGCTCGCGAACCAGTCGACCGCAGAGATATATACATTTGTCATCACATCGAACACGGCCCGCCCAACAGCGGACGCGTGGTCTTGGCTTGGGCGGCGAGAGCCACACATCCTGCGCCCGTCATACGGCACTGCCCCTTCCGCTCTTTGACACGTCAGTCTGCATCTGATCGGAAAGCGTGCCCCCTATTCTCGCTGCTCCTGTACGGAGCTGACAAAGTGTGCCCGCGCGCCGTTTTTATGCGCGTGCTGGGAAAACCGCTCTCTACTTTGCTTACTAAACGACACGTGGTCTCTTTCTTCATTAAGACACATTTGAACATTGTGACGTTGGAATAGCGTGTTGTTGTTTTTTTTATTTCCTTCGGAAGAAAATGGCGTGCGTGTTCAGTTTAGTGTAACGTGGCAACTTGCCACTTCACAGGAAACTTTAATCGCGGACGAAAAAAATCTTTACAGTACCGTTCTGTCTTCGTTCGTTTCGTCTTTTGCTGCGTCGTTACGACAAGCTAATCGTGACCAGACGTTATTGCCCGGGTCCGACAGGGAGCGCTGCCGAGGCGGGGCGGGGCGGGGCTGGTCTGCCGGCGAGGCGGGTGTGTTTCCTGGAAGCCTTTATGAAAAGTAAAGCAGCCCGGCCTTGATCGAGGAGGTAATCATCCGGCGAAACAATCATCCCGGCGCCCGGCGAAAGAGAATCATCCTGCGCGTTCGAACGGGGATAATCGAAAAGCCAAGTTGTTTGGGCCGCGCGGCTGTTGCCACGCGGTAGAGCGTGCTGGGCTGATATGCACGGCGCGCGCTGCTGAGCAAACGCGACGACGTCGCGCGGCCTTCTGTGTGATAGGGTCTGTCAAGAAGTGACGCGCGGCTGACTTGCGTTCGGCGGCAAGTTGCACATGATACGTGTGTGATTTCGGGTGGAACACGCGCGCGACTGCTCTAGCGGGACAGCGGCGGGTGCATGGCGGAGGCTGATAACTTCATGTGTTGTTTATTTTCGTCGTGAGTGTGTCGGAGCTTGATTGGCAAATGACGACGCGATGGTCTCTACCGAAGCAAAAGGCGTTGTATTTCCCGTTGTGTTTTTGCGCGTTGATTGAACTACTGACTCATCAGGGAGCCCGGCTCTGGTGCCTTTTGCAGAGCAGAAAGGAAATGGGACGTTTCCTGATCGTGTCGTCCGCCTAGCTCGGTCTATGGCGACCCGGCGACAGAGCAAAGCATCGGCAGAGGAGCCTCTCTGAACGGTTTGTCGTCAACTCCGACCGCTGCTGCTGCACGTCTCTCTCGAGACACGAGATCAGCCCAGTCTGGCCGGGTGGAGTGAGGCGCGGGGCGGGGCGGGCAGCAAGCTCACCTTGGCTGCCGAGGAGGAAGTCTCTGACGCATCACTTTACGCACGGCACACACAGAATTGCCTCCGCTCTGCCTTCTCGTCGGTTTTGGTCGAGTGACAATTACACAGTGGCAACACGAGCAAACTGAAATAATGTGTGCTCTTGCGCACAGTAGTTTGTGCCCCCTCGAGTGTATGGGGAAGGGGTGCGATATGCGACGGTCGGCGGCCGCGCAGCTCAGCCGGTCGGTAGCGCCCCTCTTAGCGTGTGGGTGCGGGCGTCAGTGACCGCAGCCGTCAGGGCCGGGCGCTCCTCGCACCGCCGCGTGGCTTACGACTACTACCACTATTATTGATTTACCTTACCTGAGCCGTGGTTGGCAGTGTACTTTTGTTTGAGCCAGCTCGAGCTCTGTCTGTCTGCGGCCCCGCTGCGCCGTCCGGGTCCGTCTTCCTGGGCTGACAGCATGAAAAGGGGAGGGGGCGGTGGCTCGTTGCCTTCCCTCTTTCGATCGGGCTGTCACTGTTTTCAGGTGCTCTGCTTTGGGCCCGGTGCTTACACACCGAGGCGCCGCCCAGGACCGGCACTCCGCGCCTACACTCCCACGCATACTTTCAAGTGAAAAACATTAAAGGGCCCTCCGCTGTAATAGAAGGACAAACTCGCGTGAGTTAACGGGTGTTGCCCTCAAAATTTTCACGCTCATTCTTTCAACGTAGATAAAAATTGCCTTGAGACCTTGTTTGTTCCTTTGCCGTCAACTACGGAACGAGCAGTGTCGCGAACGATGCGCGCGCGATCTTCGTGTTCCGCAGTTTTATTTCCCTCGTCATATCTGTCGGAAGATGTTTTCCATTGCACTCTCTGCGTTGTGGCGGCGGTCCCCCGGGGCCGCTTATTTGGTGGTCGCTATGCGGCCTCCGAAACCACCGCGCGCCGCTTCTTCGTCTTGTTTGAATTAAACCGCGCCAAAGTATTGGCGTCGGCAGAAAAGAGCCGCTCGCTGCTCGCTATCGAATGCTGGTGGCGCGGAGAGGGGAAGGGGGCGTTCTGTGGTGGTGCGACGCCATTTGCTGACCGACAACGCTAATGAGTCGCAAACTGACTGCGGGGCGAGATACCCCACGGTAGGAACGGGTTCGGCGCATGCGCCAAGATGGGGCGGCCGAGCCCCCCTTCCCCCTTTTTCTGCGAAGCTGTTCACCTGACATCGTGATGGGGACGTAGCAGCTATACCCAACAACCACCCTGGAGCACGCCGAATGGACCTCGTGCACAGTGGCGCGAGAGGCTCGCATTCTGTGGTGACGCTGAGGCTGTGCGCCGACATCAGCGTCGTGGGCTGTCGGCTGTGCATAGCCCCCCGGGCTGGAGCGGCCGGGTCGGGGGGAGGGGGGGGGGCAAGTTCTTGTACGCGTTGGGCGGCGCAGAGAGTTGTGTTGGGGTTCGCGACGCCCGCAGGTCCCCGAAAGGGCAAGGGTAAGGGCGATAAGTCGAGCATGCCCCCTCCTCCCCCTTCTCCGGAGATGGCCGCCCCCCGACATTGAATGTTTATGGTGCTCTGTGCGTGCCAGGGCCTTTGCGCAATCCCCGTTGTGGCCAGTGAGAACGAGCCCGGATTGGAACCTTGGGACGGCGGCGGCGGCCGCAC